AATTTATGGTTTCTAGGCAATGCAGAGGACATCTAGCGGTTTAGTGGTTAAGGCATTTTGGCTGCTAACCCCAAGGTCATGGTTCAAACCCACTAGCTGCTCTGTGGATAAGAGATGAGATAGTCTGCGCTTCTGTAAAAATTTACAGCCTTGGAAACCTAATATAAGTCGGAATCAACTTAATGGCAGTGAGTTTTGTTTTTTAAGGCAATACAAAGTGGAGTATACTGTTTAAATATGCTTAAAATTGTAAATATCAATATTTATTTTATTTACACATTCCATTGCCCTATTATCAGACCAAATTTTCCAGCTGCACTTTATACAGACTCTACTATAGCACTCATCACATAGTAATAGTCATGTCTTTACCTACCACTTCAGCCGGGCGTTTTGTGGTTTTGGATTTTTTGTTTCCTTAAGACCAAAAGTGCTTCTCTAAGAGAAAATTTTTTGGTAAAAATTAACAATAATCTTTCCTTCTCATTAAAGTTTAATACTGTACCTTGAATCGAACACCTTCTTCTAAAACAATATAGCCTTGGGAAGGAGAAAGATCTTTAGACTCAATTGAAGAATTCACTTCTGTCACAATGAACTGAACTGTCACAGATCCAAAGAGTCCTTTTGCAGGTTCCCGTACAATATACAATACTGCAACACTCTCTTTTACATAGACAGCTGTTGGTTCTCTTAGGAAAAAGTGCTCACTGTTGTTAAATGATAGAACTCCAGGGCCATCATCATTAGCGAGGACAGTAATTAAGGCTGTCAAAATGAAAATATTAAAACAGAATGAATTATAAGTACTGGAACAGCATGGATGTTTAATTGGAAACTAGATCAACTTTTCTCTAGAAGAAACTTCAGAAACAAAGGAAAATTTTTTAAACATTTAATAAATTTCCATATGTATCCATGGAGTGGCATAGTGCCTAAGGCACTTGAATGCTAACCAGAAGGCTGGAGGTTCAAACCAACCAGCCACTCTTCGAAAGGAAGATAGGGCAATCTACTTCTGTAGTGATACTGCCTTAGAAACCCAAGGAGGGGTCGCTATGAGTTGGGTCTGACTTGACAGCACATAACAATAACAACATCCATGGTATAAAAATACTTAATAAACTTAGGATAAAAGGAAGCCTCCTCAATCTACTGAAATGATATCAGAAGCCTACAGCAAATATAAAATTTAATGCTGAAACATTAGAAGCATTCCCATTAAAAACAGAAAGAAGATAATGATGGCTGTCATCACTCTACTAGTCAATATTGTCCTGGAGATATTCACCACATACCAATTAACAGTTATAAAAATAATATGAAAGAAGAGTCAGAACTAGAACAGTTCCTATTTTCTAAATGACAAGATTATCTACTTAGAAAATCCAAGAAAAAGAATAATTATAACTTAATAAGTCAAAACTGTAGGCTGAGAAAAAGTTTCAAAAAAATCAAGGGCTTTCTATTTACCACTACTATCAATAAAAAGATTAAGAATAACACTGCAACAACTAATACTATTTAGCACTTACTAATCATTTAACGGGAGCTCTGGTAGCATAGTGGCTAAGACACTTGCCTGCTAACCAGACGGCTGGCGGTTCAAACCCACCAGCCACTCCTCGGAAGGAAGGTTGGGCAATCCTACTTCCGTAGTGATACTGCCTCGGAAACCCAAGGAGGGGTCGCTATGAGTCGGGGCTGACTCGACGGCACATAACAACAACAACAACAACAACAACAATCATTTAACATTTGTTAACTCATTGTAACATTTACCCCAACCCTATGAAGTCTATTACTAGTCCACTGTACAGAGAGATGATTGAAGCACAAACAGATAATAAGCTGAAGTTCCAAGCAAGAAAGTGGCAGAAGTGACACACAAACCTAGACGTCTACTTCAGCACGTGCATTCTTAAAGACAGTTAAAATATTTCTATACATTATCTATAACTAACTTTAAAATGTAATAGAAAAGGGACCTCATTCACAATAGAAATAATATCTACGAATTAAGCTAAAGTATATGAGGCCAATAGGAAGAAAATAATCAATTTTAATACATAATCAATTTTAATGCATAATCAATTTTAATGCATGATCATGGCAGAGACTGTCAGTTTTCACCACATACCTTTTGCCTACTCTTCAATCACCTGCAGCAATTCCTATTTGTCCTGTGGCCTATCAAGCCTTATGTCTCAGCATAGAATCAGATCACACAGGAGTCAGGGCAAAGTGCTAGAGACGTACCAAGCAAAAGTGACCCTTAAACAATGAGGAATGGGAGTCAAAACACCAGCAGGATTCAGGCTCAGTTGACCAAGGTAGTACCTGCCTATTTAACATATCTTCTACCAGCTTCCCTCTCTCCTTTGTCTCACTTCCTCATTTTCTCACTATGCCTCAACAGATCACCACCCAAGTAAACTTACAACCAAATGCTTGTCTCAGGGTTTGTTTTTGAGGGAAATGGAACTAAGGTATATATAAGATGATCAAAATAAATGGAGAGGCATAACATTTCTAAATTAAAAAACCGGGCATTAAAATGATGTTAAGTCTCTTCAAATTAACCTAAAATTTAAGTTGAGCGCTATTATGAATTGAACAGTGTCCCCACAAAGATAGGTTGAAGTCCTAACCTTTGTACCTGTGAATGTGACTGTGATAGTTGGAACTGTGTGTCAACTTGGCTGGACCACAATTCTGTGTGGTTTAAACAACTGTGATGTGGGTTATTCCAATGATGGGATCAGATGTATATGTTTTGAGCAGCCAATCCATTGAAAGGGAGTTTCCCTAGGGGTGTGGTCTGTTTCCAGTATATTTATGGACATCCTGGGAAAAGAGACACTCTTCTGTGGATCAGGATTCTGTTGTGCTGCCTACAACTGTTCGTGAGAGAACAATCCACCATTCGGCCTGGAGATCTTGGATTCATCATTCATTGGAGTCAACAACCAGTATACTGCCTGCTCATCAGCCCCTGCAGCTGTGTGAATTGGGAAAAACCTCCAGCTTGACGATTGATCCAAGAACTTTGGATTTGCCAGCTTCTATAAGTGTGTGAGCCATTTTACTAAAATAAATTTCTCTCTCTGTATATATATAAGCTTTACTGGCTTTGCTTCTCTAGAGAACCCAGTCTAACATATTTGGTACCAGGAGTGGTTCTCAAGAGACAAAATCATAAGGATGGCTTCGTAAATTGTTTCTCCAATTTGATTAATCGTAAAGGCACTGGAGACCCTGCCTCAATTAGTAAAGAGGGCTCTGCTAATCCCTGGCATGAGGTGGCAACATTAATATGCAAAATATCACTACCAATAAATCAAGTATTTTTGAGAAGTGAGGCTCTGGGTAACCACATATTTGATACTTTTCTGCAATTCTGTCAGTATGAGGAGTATAAGGAAGCTGGTTGGTTGATCCTACTTACACTAGACAAAGTGGTGAAAGAGCAAGATGAGGAGTTCAGGGCTGAGGAGTCAGAGTTTAAGCACCACAAAGACCTCAATGTTTACAGCTGTGCTCTGAAAGAAAGCCTTATTTCTTCTAGTAACAGAGCTGATGTTGCCGAAAACCAAACCCAAAGCCTTATTGTAAGGGTGGTTGAATTATAACGCCAATTAAATTGCCAACCCAGAATGGTGGGGAAGTTAAAATGAGGGCAATGATTGGGAAAAAATGGGATCCTGAACCCTGGAATGGGGACATATGGGCAGATAGTCAGAAAGATCAGGATATGTAGCCTGTAAATTTTGTTGAATCCCTCCCATCTGAAAGGATTGAGGTAAAACCATCATCCCCTCCACCTCAGTTTGATGGGATTAACCCAACTGTTCCTGCTGGGTCACTGTCTGAGGCAGGAACTGTCCCAACCACCCACTGTTGCTGCTAGACCTATAACTAAACTTAAGTCCAAGCAAGCCCCAAAAGGTGACATACAAAGTGTGACTGAGGAGGTAGTATGCTACATCCAAAAAGACTTACTTGATTTTGCTAACATGTACAGACAGAAACCTGGAGAATATGTATGAGAATGGCTACTGAGGGTGTGGGATAATGGTGCAAGGAATGTAACATTGGATCAGTCTGAGTTTATTGATTTAGGTCCACTAAGTACAGATTCTTCATTTGATGATTCAGCTCGAGAAGTTAGGAAAGGATCTAATAGTTTATTTGGTTGGCTTACTGAAGCATGGTGGCCTATCTTAAGTCAAGCTGAAATACAAGACCTGCCTTGGTATAATATAGAAGAAGGTATCCAGAGGCTTAGGGAAATTGGCCTGTTAGAATTGATTTACCAGATTAGACCCCTAGAGCCAGAAATGGAGAGTCCAGAAGACACACCTTTCACCAGTACAGTGAGGAATAAATTTATGAAGGGAGCTCCAGCATCCTTAAAGACTGCTGTGATTGCTATTTTAAGCTGGATTTGACAGTGGGAACTGCCCTAATTGAACTAAGTCACTTAACCATGATGGGGCTGATTGGACCCCGTGGTAGTAGGGGACAAGTGGCAGCAGTTAATCGACAAAGGCAAGATGGGTGTGGTTACCATCATGGACAGCAGAGTCTAAACAGTAATCAGAATATTCTGCCTCATGTAGAAATACAGCATTGGCTACTTGCACATGGTGTTCCTAGTAGTGAAATACATGGAAAACCTACTAAATATTTACTTGATCTGTATAGACAGAATTCTAGGTCACGTGAACAGCAGCCTAGATTGAATCACCAAAATACAGAATAACAGCCTCTCAATCAATTCCCAGGCTTGAGTCAGTTTAGAGACCCACAAACCCTTGAATGAAGAGGAGGCCAGGTCCCTTTGAGGAAGGACCCCACTACACTGCCAAAAATTTATACTGTCAATCTTTCCCCCAGCCTTCTCCAAAGGGATCTGAGGCCTTTTACAAGAGTGACTGTTCATTGGAAAAAAGGAAACAATCAGACTCTTCGTGGATTACTGGACACTGACTTTGAACTGACACTAATTCCAGGAGACCCAAAGATTCATTGTGGCCTACCAGTCAGAGTAGGGGCATATGGAGGTGAAGTTATTGATGGAGTCTTGGCTAAGGTGCATCTCGCAGTGGGTCCCTGAGCCATCCTGTAATGATTTCCCCAAGTCCAGAATGCATAATTGGAACAGATATACTGAGCATTTGGCAGAATTCTCACATTGGTCCCTGACATGTGGAGTAAAGGTTATTATGATAGGAAAAGCCAAGTGGAAGCCATCAGAACTGCCTCTACCTACAAAAATAGTAAACCAAAAGCAATACCACATCCCTGGAGGGGTTGCAGAGATTACTGCCACCATCAAAGACTTGAAGGATGTAACGGTGGTGATTCCCACCACATCCCCATTTAATTCACCTATTTGGCCTGTACAAAAAACAGATGGATCTTAGAGAATGTCAGTAGATTATTGTAAACTTAATCAGGTGGTGACTCCAATTGCAGCCACTGTTTCTGATGTGGTTTCATTGCTTGAGCAAATTAGTACATCTCCTGGTACTTGGTATGTAGCTATTGATCTGGCCAATGCCTTTTTCTCAATACCAATTTCAAAGGACCATCAGAAGCAGTTTGTCTTCAGCTGGCAAGGCCAACAGTATACTTTTACAGTCCTTCCGCAGAGGTATATCAACTCCCCAGCACTATGTCATAATTTAGTCCATAGGGATCTTGATTGCCTTTCCCTTCCACAAGACATCACACTGGTCCATTATATTGATGACATTATCCTT